CATCTTCAGCACAACTGTCTTTTTCCAAAACTGATCTCAATTAATGTTTGGATATCTTAGATGATCCACAAGTGTCAAAAGACAGACACACCAAAGTATTATGTATAGGCAGATCTCCACAGTTTTTGGGATTCCACTGCCGGTAGAGTGTGGTTACTAAAAGGTGGTGTAATGAAATGCCCAAGTGTGTCAGTTGTGGAACTCTTGTAAAAATATATACCACTAACTCACATAGAAAACAGATGTGGGCAGCAAATGTAAAATCACAAGCACCAGAAAAATATAAAAGCAGAAAAAGTAACAACAAACTGGTCAATCACATAAAATTTGTTCAACTGAAAACGCCTGTTGTCTTCAAAAGATGTGCTTCACCAAACATGCTATATTCTTGATTTCTTGTAGATACCAAGCGGGGCTCATTTACATAGGGGACAATTAACAGCATTACTCAGTGTATGCAAACACACAAATTGACTAGGCAGCTTTGAGTAAGCCACTACCTTCTCTGCTTTCCAAAGAATACCAGCTGCTGCACAATTTCAACATACAGTGGTACCTCGGGTTAAGTACTTAATTCGTTCCAGAGGTCCGTTTTTAACCTGAAACTGTTCTTAACCTGAAGCACCACTTTAGTTAATGGGGCCTCCTGCTGCCGCCGCATCGCCGGAGCACAACTTCTGTTCTCATCCTGAAGCAAAGTTCTTAACCCGAGGTACTATTTCTGGGTGAGCAGAGTCTGTAACCTGAAGCGTATGTAACCCGAGGTACCACTGTATTACACTTCCTATAGAATTAGCTACTAGCCATTTGGGAAAAGGCATGAATGAAAAGTGATGGCTATTATAAAATCTTTTCTGGACAGCGCTGCAGCTTTGCCAACGGTGTGTATTACCTCTTCAATTTTGCTCATGTCACCTTTCTCAGCGTATGCATTCAATAGTGCAACGTAAGTGTCTGGACCAGGTTCAATGCCAGCATCTCTCATCACAGAAAGGATATTTTCAGCATTCTCCATATCCCTGTGAAGTGTTTTAAAAAATATATTTTTTTAATATAGTGGAAAATACAGTGTTATAAACTGGTTGTGGTTGGTATTAAGACTTGAGCCTATTGGGGTGTGTGTCATAATTTATCAACAATGAGTTCTTTATTCAATTAAACAGCTGTGGGAAAAGGAATGAATGAAATATAGGACAGGAACAGACAAAACATCTGCCATCTCTGGCAAGTCCCAATAAGGATCATCAGTGGAAGGGGAAAATTAATCAAGGCTGGCTCACCTGCATGGCTACATTAGCACAATCAAATCTTGGCTTAATAATACAACCCCATTGCTACCGGTTCTCTACTCCCCTTCTTCAAGTGGCAAAACCGGTACTCTGCAGTTAACCAGAGCTTCCTGCTATGTCTAAACTGGGAAGCTATGGCTCCTGGTTTCTAAAAAAGGCAAAATAGGAAGCAATAGTTCATATGGCTTCCAAATCCTGCACAATTTCCCAGTCTGTACATAACAGGAAGCTACAGTTAGTTGGGGCTTCCTGCCTTGTTTCATTGCTTGTATGAAGGAAGGGGGCAAGTAGGACCAAAGGGGGTGTACCTGCCATCTCCACCCCCTTTCAGCTGCTATGTGCAAGTCTAAAAATGTTCATGCAATTTAAAGAGATACACTTAAGATCATTTTTTACATGTAGTTTGGCCCTTAAGCATATGCATCAGAAAACCAGTTAAAGTTACAAATTTTGAAACTGTCCCATGCAAACAGTCACCTGGTTGGGGGGGGCGGTTTTTTATATTCAAGAGATCCCTGCACGCATCATTATGCACACATAAGATCTGTCAAGTAACTGGGGCTGATATGAAGGGTGTAACTATTTGTAGCAATTAAAAAATTAGAAAATGCATTCACTTAACTCAGACAAAGTAGCAATTTAAACAGGAGAAGAGTAAGAACTATAAATTACCCGGATCTCGCATGGCCAGTCACAAGTGCGCTGAATACAGACTCTGTGATTGGGAGCTCCTTGCTTTTCATAAAACCAAGAATCTTGCTGCAAGATGAAGAACTAAGTCAGCTATGTTTTTCTTTGGAAAATGCAAGTAAAACAAATGTACTTTATACTGAAGACTACATGCTGAAGTAAAACAAAATAAGATATCATTTAAGTCTTGTAATACTGAGTTAGCTAAGACCTTGAGATTACCATTTTAAATACAAAGAGACAATTAATCCAATATTTTAAAACATTCTGGAAAAACAGTGTATGTTCATTGCTCCTAACCCTATCTTCTGTTATATATTCCTCTTTTAACCTAAAAAGGAAATTCCTGATTAAATTAGTACTGTGCAGCATAAAAACACATCCATGCTTTCTCCACTGGCTAGGTATTTTTTCTTGTACCTTGTTCCTTTCAAGTTATACAAATTCCAATTCCACTTGCATACAATGGCTGCATTCACATGAATAATGTTGCATACCAGCCATTGTTCAGAACCAAAACTGTGGTCAACATTAACTATGGTTAGTTTCAACAAGCCAGTTTCAGAAGTCACAATATTCAGCTGGCTTGTTTGAAAATAACAATAGCCAAGTATTGTTTCTTTGGATAAAGTTATCCCTTTTATATTTTTCAATGGACTTTCTTTATTCAATCACTCAAATTTGTTTCTTTGTTAAATTTTATTTCATGTTTAAAAATATCAACACTGAAATTGTATACACCAGAGATGGAGAACTGGATCTAGCCAAATCTTTGCCTTCCTTACTCCCCGTGGCCCAAATCTTACAGGCAAGCAGGACTGCTCACTTCTCAATCACCTAATGTCACTATGACATCAGGTGATATGGGGCTTTGCAGTCCCAAGAATGAGCTGATCGTCAGCCCTTCAAAAGCCTCTCCAGCCCAGTTGCCTTTTTACTTGTCCACACTGACATCATATCAGGTGTCAGATGATTGGCAGGTGGGCAGAGCTTGGACAAAATGGCCAGGCAGATCAAATGGGGAGACTTTGGGCCCCTCCCTGGCTAATGATGCCTAAAAGCCAGTGATTCCCCACCCCTGCTATACATACTTATCCAGGAGTAAATGCACTGAACTCAATGAGACTTCTGAGTAAACATGTAAAGGATTAAGCTGTAAGATGCATTTTAGCTGTAAAATATTTAGGTCCATTTATGCAAGCCCTTACCTAGCACCATCAATATCACCCTTGCTGCAATAGGCAGCAATCAGCCGCTGGTAAGTGACCTGCAAAAAAAGATGACGAAAATAAGACTTGCTATTTAATGAGTGGTGGTGAGTTAAAAGTTGGCAAAAAAAAAAATGCCTTTATGAAAGAAGTACATACTCGATTGGGCTGAACATTAGCTTCTTCCATTTTTGTTAAGAATTCAGTTGGAGAGAATGTGTGCCCATTCTGAAGGTAGACCTTTAGCAAAGCATTGTAATGGCTTACATCATACACAACACCTTGACAAGAGATTATAAAGAAAAATTAAAATTTAGTACATTAAGAAGTTCAATACGATAAAATAATTCAATGTAACTACTATCATAGGAACAAATTTAGGCATAGATAAGAACACACAACTTCTGAAAGCGTGTGAAGCTATATTTCAAAGTCCACTAAACAGAGTGTACCTTTGTAATGCAACGCCTGAAACAAACATTAAACACGTGTTTGCAACACCGTGCATCTTAAGTCTACAACCTGTTCATTACACTGAGGAAGTATGGATATTATTAAGGTCAGTTCAGACATAATATTCTCAACCCTCCTTCTATACTCCCATTTGTGACTATGGTATGCAGCTACATGTATTAAGAGAGGAAATCCAAGCCATGGTGGGGGAAGGTCTATGTAAGCCTAAATATTGTTCAGGTAGCATCCAACTACTGTTTGACATTATGTTTAAGCCAAGTCTGGTATTTAACACAACCACTATTTAATATCTACTCACAAACCAAAGCTCTAAGAACTATTACCAGTGGGAGCAATTGGGATATTGAACAGAATTCTGGATAATTGTTTAGCAATGCAAAAAGTAGCAATATTAAACTAAAGTATCTCTCTCAAAAATGTTAAGCAACAAATTAACTGACTTCATTGCACAAAAACAAAGCTTGGTTTTAACATTAACACCTCTAGATGTCAGTATAGCTCTTGGAATCTAAAAACAGATTTCCAAGAGTTGTATCTGCAAGTATTTAAAGAATGTCAGCTACACATTTAGTATCTAACAGTATTTTAATTCCATTAATTTTACAGCAGAAAAAAAAATAAAGCACATGCTAAAATAACATTCATACGACTTATTTAAGAAAAAGAATACCTAGTCCTTTCAACTGGGTCCATATGGTATGGGCAAGTTCCGTTCTTTCAGCTGGATGATGCTCAGGCAATAATGAACCACAGGTTCTCAACAAGAGTAGGGCCTGGTTACTACTTGGGTATCCTAAATCAGAACAAGATACATGAAACTGCAACATGAACAATCACTATGTAACCTAGAAGGCATAAAGGCAGCCCTGTTCAGGGAAGTTTTTAATCTGTGATATTTTACTGTATTTTTGGTTTCTATGGAAGCCGCCCAGAGTGGCTGGGGAAACCCAGCCAGATGGGCGGGGTACAAATAATAAATTATGATTATTATTATTATTATTATTATTATTATTATTATATCTATTAAAAAGGGGGGGGACTACGCATAGCTTTGAAAAGTTTAGAAAAGCATATCCACACTGTTCCGTGACATCTGACAACAGAAAAGGAGATACAGGTCAAGCTTTGCAACATGGGGGAATTAAGAACTCAATCCTATGTGTATCTACTCAGACATAAGCCCCACAGTGTTCAATGGGGCTCGCTTCCTAGTTTAATTTAATTTAGAACTGCTGCTTAGACATACCACATGGGGAAGTATTTGAACATGCATGCATTTTCTAGGATACAGGTAGGTAGTCGTGTTGGTCTGATGCAGCCAATATATATATTTTTAAAATGTCCAGTAGCACCTTAGAGACCAACTAAGTTTGTTCTTGGTATAAGCTTTCATGTGCATGCACACTTCTTCAGATACCAGCACACAAAAGTTTATACCAAGAACAAACTTAGTTGGTCTCTAAGGTGCTACTGGACAATTTTTTTTATTTTTTAAATATATTTTCTAGGATAGTAAAACTAGAGGCATTGGGTTGTATCCAAGTTTTATTCAGAATAGACTCTCCAAAATTAATGTACCTAAGTTAGCCATGTCCATTAATTTCAAACGGTTATGACTAACGTAGGGTGTTACCCACCATGTTTTCCTGACGTGTCTCAAACTATTGTTGAAGAGTTTGACTTACAGTAAGCGTACCAGATGGTATACTTTAAATGGAGCAACTATGTCCTGCAGTACAAATATGTGCAGGCAGAAGGGCAACTTAAAACCAAAATTCTGATAGTGTGGCCACTGCATATGAACATGAAGTGTGCTCTAGTGCCATATATATGCAGCTGAGCCTGTTTTGCCTATAGTTTGTAGTATGCAAGTGCCAATGTGTATATGAACACACTCGTTCCTGGAACAACTCAATACATTTGTAGCATATTTATGAAGGATTTAGTAACACATGAGTGCAGTGTCACATTTCTCAGGAATTATTTTTTGAAACAGTTCTTCTAAAAATGCTCACAGATAGCACCCCAAAGAAAGCCAAATTATGCATCAGATTTGAGAACAGAAGAGAAGCAGGTGACCCAAAAAATGTGTTTTAAGCAACCTAACTGCCAGAGTGAAGTGATGCAATAAGCAGTGCAGAAATGACAATAATCACATAAATTAATGATTTAAGTTGATCTCTCTTTATGCAGAATATAGATACTGAGCTTCTGCTTTTCACTGGGAGCACAGCGCAGGACGGGGGAAATCAGTGCTCCTTTCATGTAAGCTAAACAACTGAAATAACACCCATGTTCTTTATTTCAATTTAGAAAGAAACAAGCTACTTATCCCACTTTTACAGGGAACTGCTCAGGAACTTCTAAAAAGTTTTCCCCAATGAAAGCTTTATGTTAGGAAATAATACACTTTCTATACATACTGCCTAATCAGCCTGTAACCTCAAAAGAGTAGCTCACTACTATCTGCTGACTGAATACATGTGCAAGAAGAATAAAATTGGGCTCCATAACATCTGATGCAAAGCAGTATATAACTTTTCACTTCACTTAGCTTTTAGCCATCATTTCTAGTTGCCACTGGCCACCCAATCCTTGCAAAGAAATTTCTCTCTTGTCTCACGCTAGATAGAAGCTGGGGAAAGGAGAAGCAGCAATGAAGACTCTTTTGTTCTCCAAAGCATGAGATAAGAGATTTGCCAAACCAAGGAATAAGGTGTGAGAGAAGACTCTTACCCAAGCTTCCTCACACTCAGCCCTCCATATGTTTTTGGCCAACAACTCCCATGATCCCTAGCTAGCAAGACCAGTGGTCAGGGACGATGGGAACTGTAGTCTCAAAAACATCTGGAGGGCTGAGTTTGAGGAAGCCTGCTCTTACCCAATGCTCTTGCCAATTCCGCTATTTGGAAAAGCCTAGGAAGAGCTTATATCCCCCCTTCTGAGTTCTCTGCAATTCATAGAGAATTTGGGGCAAAAATCAGTCACCAAATGGTCCATCAAGAACTGGAGATGTGGCAACCAAGTAAGTGGATGATTACAGTTAGGGTTAGCACCACAGGAAAAATGTCTCCAAAATGTAATGGTGGTTTTCTTAAGCTCTGTAACATGCAGATGAAATCTCAACCAAAATAAGGTTTGCCAGATTAAGAAACAGACTTCTGTGTCACACCTGAACATCTTTAAGCAGCAGTGGCTAGGGCAACAGATACCTGCACAAGCTGCTCAGTCTGTGGAAACTCATGCTGCACTTCAAATACTGTATATGTCATTTCCTATGTAGGAATTATTCCCATGTTAAAAATGTAAAATACAGAGTGATCCTAGAGACAAGGAGAAAGGAAAGGGATATCCCCCTTTTAAAAGGACACTGATATTGCTGCTTCTTAGCAAGATGTGACACTGGAAAACCACAAGCTAGCCCAGCTTTTATGTTCATTATTTCAACTCACACTGTAGAAATATAATCCCATACAGCTGGCTTTTCAACCTCCAGGAATGGTGCATTGCAGACACCCTGATGAACAAGCCACAGCTATGTACACTTTGGGTACAGAAACAGAAATTCTGCTATGGTTTAGAAACTTGGTTGGATCCATGTAGCTAACATCCACTTATATTGACCCTATTAATTTTCTTTTTCCACTCTGTTTATGTCTTAAAAGAGCTAAGAAAATGAGCAATGTACACTCCAAGGGTTGCTTGACCTGATCAAGGAAGGGAGATCTATGCACTGAAATGGCTATCCATTCGTGTAGCTGTCACACGTGTATCTGTACCACCACCACAGGCCACACCGTGACTGGGTACACCTTTTGTTATGCACAGCCTGCACAGCCCCACTTAGGTCTGCCGGTCTTTACGTGTAAATTGTTGCCTGTGTTTTAGAAGCAGGAAATCTGGTGGGGTGGTGCGACTCTGCCACCCTCCAGCAACTTCACTGCAGCTTATGGGACAGTGAAGTGGCAAGACTGGGGCTGGGACATGGATGGGCAGAACCAATCTGGGGCTCCCACCAGAGCAGCCGTGCAGCCTCAACCCCATTGCTGCCCTGCCCCCTCCCTCTCGTTAAGTGACAGCAATGGGAGTGTGGTGGCACAGCAAACTTCAACCACACCTGCTACGGAGTTGGTCTGAGGCCAGTATAAGCAAAGTGAGTGATAAGCAATGGTGCAACCCTTTATTCATGGAGAGCAGGATATCTCCGTGCATCATGTGCTATTGCCATTCAGAGGGCACTGCAATTCCATTACAGCTGAGGCTATTCAACTGTAGGCATCTTACTGGCCTGCTGCTGGCTCTTTGTTCCTGCTTTTGCAGGGAATATGCTGATCCAGTGGATGCTAATGCTTAAAATGCAGGATGAGCTTGTCGTTAAATGGACCCTGCTAAGGCACATGAGAAGGATTATAATAGGGCTTCATGAGGGCAGGGAGCGAGCTTGACTTATACCAAATCAGACCCATGGGTATACCTACCTCATGATTGTCAGTAACAACCAGGAACAGCTCTCCAAAATTTTAGGGAGGAATCTTTGCTTGCAAAGCATGTGCTCTGCCACTGAGCAATGGAGCCTTTCTCCACGTTTATACAAATGTGCATAAGCCGCCTGCTTTTATTTTGGAGAAGAGCAAGCAGAAAGCCAGCGAGGGGCCCCCAATCCAGATCAGGAGCACATTTCAGACTGGAGACCTGTGGCTGCTTTTTTCCAAAATGAAAGCATCCAGGTTAAGCACTCTTATATAAACATGTCACATGAAATTTAGTCCTTAATGTCAATGCTAGTTAAAACAGGAATACTGTTAAAATGTTTGTGCCCTGCAACTAATCAATTTTCACAAATTACATCTGTAACCCGAGTAAACGGAGCTCAATTTATTATTGCAGCCACCCAACTGCTAGAAATAATGTAAATAAAAAATGCTACAACTATTTTTGAAGCATTTTAAAGACAGTATATATTAATAATTGCCAAGGATTTTAACAAAACATAAGGCAAAACCACGCTGTTAAGCAAAAATTTCATGTTAGGTAAATATAATGTTAAGCAAAATAGTAACACTTTACCTGTTCTGCACACATCATGAAATATTCTTAATAGAAGGTTTTTAGTAATGCGCCCAGTTCTTCTGATAGATTCATCCAGTTTATTCAAGGCCCAATCAAAATGTTGTGTCTGCTTGCTTTGAATAGCTGAAGGTGGTTGCTCTTGAACTTCTCCCTTTTCTTTAGTTGCAACTGTAAAGAGCCTTGCTTGGTAGATCAGATGCCTACAAAACAAAACAAATCCCGCTTTGAGGGCAGATAACAGCTATACTTTGTGTCTTACATTTGCTGAGCATTCAGAGCTGAAGCAAACCTCAAGAGTTTTAGGGGTAGGAAACAACAAGAGCTAATAGTTCTGTTTGGAAAGCACTGAAAGAAGGAAGCTGGCCAGAGAATAATAGAATCTTAGAGTTGGAAGGGACCCAAGGGTCAACTAGTTCAACCCTTACCACATGGAATTTAAACCTGCAAAGCAGCACTCAACTGCAAAAAACGCTATTGTACTCTGCCTGTACATACATATGTATACACACAGAAAAGAGCTGCAAAATAATAAGTGGAAGCTATGACAGCTGGTGCTAAAGAGATTGTGGTAAGGAGGACAGAAGAAACATGGGGGCCTGAAATATAATGTACTGTCACCTTTTCACTAGGATCTGAAGTTCCAAGATGGCGGCGCGTTCATACGCTGTGGCTCTGAGCTCCCAATACTTCACCTACTCACGCACAAAACTGGTGACAATAAAGTACAGTGGTACCTTGGGTTACATATGCTTCAGGTTACAGACGCTTCAGGTTACAGACTCCGCTAACCCAGAAATAGTGCTTCAGGTTAAGAACTTTGCTTCAGGATGAGAACAGAAATCGGGCTCCGGCGGCACAGCAGCAGCAGGAGGCCCCATTAGTTAAAGTGGTGCTTCAGGTTAAGAACAGTTTCAGGTTAAGTACGGACCCCCGGAACGAATTAAGTACTTAACCCGAGGTACCACTGTATAAAGGACCAACCAACTTGTTTTAAACCATCTTAAAGCAGAAATGGGCAACATTTTTGAGTCTGAGGGCCACAGTCCCTTCTTGGCAATCCTCCACATGTTAGGGGTGGATGGGGCCAGAGGTAAACGTGAATAGAGCAATGAATGTCACTTTTACCCTTGTAGAGTAGGGCTACACACAGACCCTCTGTCTTCCATTCAGGCAAGCAAGCCATTATCAGAGATCAAGCAAGCATTTCAGCCAGGCACAAAACACTCAAAGAAGGTATTAAAAAAGGCCGGTGAGGGATGTGGTCTGGGGAGAGTCCCAAGGACCAGATGGAAAGATTTGGAGGGGGTATTTAGCCTCCAGGCCTGAGGCTTTCCACCCCGATCTAAAATCTACCCTAGCCACAGAAGACAGCTATGTCACTGGTTGCATTTATACGTTCAGTGCTAC